AAAAAAAAAAAAAAAAAGCACTGGGGCTGGGTGCGGTGGCTCAAGCCTGTAATCCCAGCACTTTGGGAGGCCAAGGCGAGAGGATTGCCTGAGCCCATGGGTTTGAGACAAGCTTGGGCAACATGGTAAGACCTCGTCTCTACAATAAATCAAAAAATTAGCCAGGCGTAGTGGCGCATGCCTGTAGTCCCAGCTACTTGGAAGCCTGAGGCGGAAGGATCACCTGAGCCCAGCAGGTCGAGGCTGTGGTACCCGTGAGCGTGGCAGTGCACTCCAGCCTGGGTGACAGAGTGAGACTCCATCTCAAAAAATGAAATAAAATAAAATAAAATAAAATAAAAAGCATTGGAACACCTTCCACTAAAACAGATTCAAACTGAATTAAGGATTTAAATTAAACAGTAAAGATGGTAGATGAAATCTTGGTGTTTTAAAATAATTTTAGGGGCCGGGCTCGGTGGGTCAGTCTGTAATCCCAGCACTTTGGGAGGCTGAGGTGAGTGGATTGCCTGAGTCCGCGGGTTCGAGACCCGCCTGGGCAACTTGGCGAGACCTCATCTCTACAATAAATCAAAAAATCAACTGGGCGTGGTAGCGTGCGCCTGTAGTTCCAGCTACTCGGAAGGCTGAGGCGGAAGGATCGCTGGAGCCCAGCAGGTCGAGGCTGCGGTGGCCGGGAACGGCCCCTGCACTGCAGTCTGGGGGACAGAGTGAGACGCCAACTCAAAAAAGAATAAAATAAAATAATTTTAGGCGCATATACAAGAAAACCTTCCTGTCCTTGGACTGGGTCATGGTTTCTCAGATGTGATATGAATAGCACAACAACTAGTCAATGGGCCTTTTCCAAAATTAAAGACTCTGTGCGCCAAAGGACGCCGTCAAGAAGTGAGAAGACATGATGGACCTCGGAAGCAGAATGCTAAGCAAAGGAAGCCAGGTACAAAAGGGCAAGTGTCATATGAGACACGAAATGAAATGCCCTGAACAGGCTGAGAGACCGGAAGCCGCCTGGTGGTGGCCAGGGGCTGGGGAGGCGGGAGGTGACTGCCCATTGGGTCCAGGGTCTTCTTTGGGTGACAGAAATATTTTGGAACTAGATATAGGTAGTAGTTGAAAACACTATGAATGTACTAAATGCCACTGAATTCTTTGCTTTAAAATGGTTAATTTCATGTTGTGATGTCACTTCAATAATAAAAGAATTACATGGATTGCTCCTTAAAAATATAAACCGGCCGGCTGCGGTGGCTCAAGCCTTTAATCCCAGCACTTTGGGAGGCCGAGGTGAGAGGATTGTCTGAGTCCAGGGTTTCAAGACCAGCCTGGGCAACTTGGTGAGACCTCGTCTCTACGATAAATCAAAAAATTGGCCAGGCGTGGTAGCGCGCACCTCTAGTTCCAGCTACTTGGAAGGCGGAGGCAAAGGATTGCCGGAGCCCGGCAGGTCGAGGCTGCAGTGGCCATAAGTGTGCCACTGCACTCCAGCCTGGGCAAGAGTGAGACGCCAATTCAATAAATATATATACACATATATATACGTGTGTGTGTGTGTGTGTGTGTGTGTATATAATTTTAAGGCCAGGCATGGTGGCTTATGCCTATAATCCCAGCACTTTAGGAGGCCAAAGTGAAAGAATTGCTTGAGGTCAGGCGTTTGAGACCAACCTGGGCAACATAGTGAGACCACATTTCTAAAAAAAAAAATTAGCCAGATGTAGTGGTACATGCTTGGAGTTCCAGCTTCTTGGGAAGCTGAGGCAAAAGGATTGCGTGAGCCCAGGAGGTTGAGGCTGCAGTAAGCTATGATCGTGTCACTGCACTACAGCCTGGGTGACAGCATGAGACCTGGACTCAAAATATATTTATAATTTTAAACAAATATAGTGAAAAGATGACCTACAGAATGAGAAAAATTGTTCACTTTTTGAGTATTTGCACTTAAAATTTATGTTAAAATTATTTGTCTGTTTGTCTGTTTTTGAGTTGGAGTCTCACTTTGTCACCCAGGCTGGAGTGCCGTGGCACGCTCACAGCTCACACCTGCTGGGCTCCGGCGATCCTTCCACCTCAGCCTTCCAAGTAGCCAGAACCACAGGTGCGCGCTACCACGCCCGGCTAATTTTTTATTTATTGTCGAGACGAGGTCTCGCCAAGGTGGGTCTCGAACCCGTGGGCTCAGGGAGTCCACTCGCCTTGGCCTCCCAAAGTGCTGAGGTGACAGGCTGAGCCAACGAGCCCGGCCTTAAAATGATTAAACAACGAATTATGCAGGTGTTCTGTCCAACTGCCTTAACTTCATATTAAATTTCATTTCCAGAAAGGGAGCTTCGTTCTTGGACACACACTGATTTTTAAAATTTTAGATTGGGGGGGTTCGTGTGCAGGCTGTTTTGTGGGTATGCTGAATGATAGTGAGATCTGGGCTTCACTGAGCCTGCCGTCCAGGCTGCAAGCGTGGCGCCCTTCCACCCATCCTCCTCCCTCCCTTCCCCCATTCGTAAATCCTACATCTGATAAGGGCTTGTGTCCAGAATATATAAAGAACTCCTACTTGGCCAGGCTCGGTGGCTCAGCCTGTAATCCCGCGCTTTGGGAGGCCAAGGTGAGTGGATGGCCTGAGCCCGTGGGTTCGAGACCCACCTGGGCAACTTGGCGAGACCTCATCTCTACAATAAATAAAAAAATTAGCCGGGTGTGGTAGTGCATGCCTGTAGTTCCAGCTACTTGGAAGGCTGAGCGGAAGAATCACTGGAGCCCAGCAGATAGAGGCTGCGGTGGCCAGGAGCGTGCCATTGCACTCCAGTCTGGGCGACAGACTTCAACTCAAAAAAAAAAAAGAAAAGAACTTCTACTCCATGATAAAAACTCCTCACTTAGCAATAAAAAGACAAAAACCCAACTTAAAGGTGGGTAAAGGAGTTGAATGGACACTGCTCCAAAGACAACACACAAATGGCCAACAAGCCTCCTCCCCATCCATCGGGCACACAAACCAGAGCCATGGGAGCCCGCCCCTCCCACCTTCTGGGACCGCCAGGATCAAGGGCAGACCGCAGTGAGGCTGGGGAGGGTGTGGAAAGCCTGGAGCCTCGTCGTGGCTGGGGGGAATGTGTTTGGACCACACCATGTGGCATGGCAGTTCCTCAAAGTGCTGAACATCAAGGTGGCACAGACCCAGCAGGTCCACAGAATCTGAGAGACACGAAGACGCGATCGCACAGGCCTGCACACGATGCCCACAGCAGCAAGTGGAAGCCACCCCAGAGGCCGTCCACTGAAGAGCGGACACACTGAACTTGGCCCAGTCACATAATGGAGCGTTATTCTGCCACAGAAAGGACAGAAACTGACACACACCACAGCACAGATGAACCCGAGTGAAACAGGCCAGTCGCCGAGGACCACACATGGTGTGATTCCATCTACTTGAAATGTTCAGAACAGGCAAAGCCACAGAGACAGGAAGTAGGTCTTTCTTCTTTCGGCAGGGGCTGGGGTGGGGGGATGGAGAGGTGACTGCTGGTGAGTGTAGGGCTTTATTTTGGGATATGAAAATGTTCTGAAATTAGATAGCGGTGATGGCTGCACAGCTCCGTGGCTTTACCAAGACGGCTGAATTGTACGCCTTGCAAGGGTGAGCTGCACGGTGTGTGAATTATACCTCAATAAAGCTGTTATTTAAAAAATAACTGGGCAGAGAAGGCCTATCTGAGTATGCTATGAACCCTAAAACCACAAAAGTTTGATCACTTTGACTATAGCAAAGTAAAAAAATTTCCATGGCGAAAACCACCGTGAGCAAAGTCGAAAGACAAGCTAGAGAAAACATTTTCAACTAATCTCTCAAACAGTTAATTTCCCTGATGTATCAAGAACCCTAGAGGATGGAAACCACCAGCAACGCAGCAGGGAGGCAGGTGAAGGCATGAGAGACCGTCCGCAGGTAAGAAGAGCACACGACTCCAGAGCCTACTGCAAGATACTCATCTCATTCAAGATTAGAAACTTCCAAATAACTCTCCCCGTCAGGTCAGCAAAGAAGCGCGGGCGGCCCGCGTGTTGGCGGGAATGCAGCAAGCACACTCACGGCGTGTGGGTGTCACTGAGTAGTTACGAGGGGGAGTTTGCCTCAAATCTCTCCAAGATTACCAAGCCACGAAAGCACTGAATTTGCACTTTCACTTCGAGGAATTTAGGCCACCAGCAAACTCCTACGTATGCAAAACGACACTTCCACAAAGCTGCCTGCCCGCCCAATGATCGCAGGAGGAAAAGGCTGGAACAGCCTGCGTGTCCAGCCACAGGGCACAGCAAGGAGAGCATGGGGCAGCCCCACGGGGATGACCACACAGCCACAGGAGGCGTGGGAGGCTCCCATGGACTGAGTCCAACGCACTCACACTCGGACAGAAAAGGGAGGTCTCTTAGAAGGATGCACAAACCCAGCCCCTGGTTGCCAGGAGGGTCTCCGGGGAGAGAGGAGCCCCATTCCAGTCTGCTCTTAGAACCTGTGCACGTATCATGGAAGAATCCAGATGCACTAGATATGGCAGGAGCAACCCCCACCCCCACCCCATCAAGGGATGCACAGAAACAGTGTGATCCATTCACGCAGTGGAGCATTATTCAGCCTCAAGAAGGAAGGAGGCCCTGACAGCGGCCAGCGGGCCGAGCCGCAGAGGCCAGGGTGGCCGGTAGGGCCTCACCCCTCCCTGACTGTGAAGACGCCACACGTGGTGGCGGAAGCCAGGCAAGAGGACAGGGAGCGTATGACTTCATTTGTAAAACTGCCCAAAGGCCGGGCATGGTGGCTCAAGCCTGTCATCCCAACACTTTGGGAGGCCAAGGTGAGGGGATGGCCAGAACCCCCAGGATCGGGAACAGCCTGGGCAACTTGGTGAGACTTCATCTCTACAATAAATTTTTTAAAAAATTAGCCGGTCGTGGCAGCACACGCCTATAGTTCCGGCTACTTGGAAGGCTGAGGCGGAAGGATCGCCGGAGCCCAGGAGGTCAACACTGGGGCGGCCGTGAGCATGCCACAGCACTCCAGCCTGGGCGATGGAGTGAGATGCCAACTCAAAAAGAAGAAAAAAAACTGTCCAGAATAGGCAACGAGAGAGAGAGAGAGAGAGAGAGAGAGAGAGAGAGAGAGAGAGAGAGAGAGAGAGACAGAAAGTTGATTGGCAGTTGCTGAAGGTTGGGGGCGGAGATAACCAGAGGGCATGGAGTTTCTTCTAGGGGCGATGGAAATGCTCTAAAATCGGCTGTGGTGATGGTTGCACAACCCTGTGAATTTACTTAAAGCCAACCAGTTGTGCACTATAATGGGTGGATTGTAAGGCATCCGAACTGCATCTCAATGAAGCAGTTGTTGAAAAAGATGTTCTAAAGGAAAACAAAGCTGCAAACAAAACAGCCCACACAATGTGAGGAACAGGAGAGAGGGTCTGTGCCCGGCCCCCACTGCCCGGCCACCTCTCGGTACAACACGTGGGCCTGTCTCCCTGGGAAGGAGGAGCGGACGTGGCTGGGGCACCGGCACCCAGTGTGGGCCTGGCTCGCGGTCAGGCCCCAGAGGCCCGCATCGACTGCCACCCAGGCATGGCCAGGGGCCTGCACGCAGAAGCCCCCTGCCCAGGGAAGCCTCAGCAAGAGGCCAGACAAAGACCCAGCTCCGTGCTTGGGCCGAGGGTCCAGGCGCCCCCCCAGTCAACCCCCAGACCTATCTGAAGGTAACCTCAGCTTCATCACACAAGTGGACGCCCAGAGAGGGGTGAGCTCCTTGTGCCGGGCTCAGTGCTGTCCTGCAGGCCCCTTGCCCTGGCCGCTACAGGTGGGAATCACAGGTTTCCTAACCATGCCTGTGGTTGGCCTTTCACCTTCCTTGTGGGCCATCGCCCCACGTGCAGCCGCCCCGTGCCTGCTGGTTTCTGGCCTGGGCCACCCAGACCCCCACACCAGCACCAAGGCAGACCTCCACCCTCTCTGAGCACTCAAGTTTGGGATGTTTCCAAAAACAGTGCACACCCACTGAGTACCTCGGCCAGGCCAGTTCCAGATCGCCCCGAGTCTGGAATTCCTGGGACAGTGGGCAGGGCTCTCCCCCAGCCCCCTGGCTAGCCGTTTCTTCTGGGACCATGGCAAGTGACTTGGAGATGGGACACTCACCCTGCCATCTTGCTGACCCGGGCCTTGGGTCCTCTGTGTGGGAACTGGCTCTCCATCTGGCCTTCCGCCCCCGCCAACACACACACACAGCACCCACAGAGTCTGTGTCTGCCCAGGAGGGAGCCAGGCCCTGGCCCCAGGGCAGGGGTGCAGCGGCCACACAGGAGGAGCCTCCAGGGAGGGGCGGGGCCTGCCAGGCGCCCCAGCCTCGTGGGGTCAAGGCCCCACCAGCCCCAGCCTCTCAGGGCCCACAGCCAGGCCACAGGGTGTTTGCGGCCGGAGAGGCTGGAGTGCCCAGAGGGTGGTAGCGAGACTCCCTGGGTCTCCCTCTGCCCCTGCCCCTCACCCCTCCCTCGTACCTCCACTTGGGCCTCCTCCCAGGCGTCCAGGCGGACCGACTTCACCTTGCTGACCTGGGGGATGTTCCGGTGGATTCCGGAGCAGCTCAGGCATATGAATACACCCAGGGTGTAGGAGGCCCAGTCGGGATCTGAAAGGAAGAGGCGACATTCAGAGAGGCTCGGCCCAGGGACCTGCAGGGGGGCCGGAGTGTCGGGCAGGGTCGGGGGACCCCAGCTGGAAGCCTCACCCCCTCTGTGGAGGTGGGGCTGCAGAGGAGACCCTGGGGCTCACCCAGCCCCAGACTCTGGAGCTCACCACGCCTCCCAACATGCCGCTGCCCAGGGCTTACTCAGACCCCACAGCACCTGCAGAGAGCTGGTCAGGGCAGGCTGCATGCTGGGCCGGCCTCAAGAGGGAAACCCCGCCAGGGTGCCTGCCAGAGCCACGTCCCCCGGCACTGAAAGCCCAGGCAGGGCTAGGCCCACACACCCTCTAGGGTGGCTGTGCACCCAATCACCCCAGGCTGGAGGCAAAGACACAGAGGGCTCAAACAGAGGAGAGGCCCCAGAACTGGTGTGGCACGTGGCCTGACTGGACAGACGGTGGCGGGGAAGGTGAGACGATGCCCCATGCCTGGGAGCCAGCACAGACTGCACTGACCGTGTGAGGTGTGACAGCGCTGCTGTGGCTCAACCCATGCGTGTATGGGGGTCTGCACCTTCCCATCCAGTGTGCTTTAAACGTTCAACAGAAACACATACACACACACACACACACACACACACACACACACACACACGGACGAGCAAACCCAGCAAAAGGCTGCCAACTGCCAGGCCTAAAGGGAGGCGGGCATCGTGGCACGATCATGGCGCAACCACGCCTGTTTCTGCATGTGTCTGACTACTTTGCACTGAACCACAGCAAAGTGAGCAGTGTGGGCCTGCGGCCTGGAGGGCTGGGCAGCAGGTGGGTGGGCCACTGTGTCCCGGGCTCCTGGGCTGGGCGGCAGGCAGGTGGGTAAACAGGCTGCTGTGGGCTGGCCTGGGCAGGGGGCCAGCGGGTGGGTGGCCGGGTGGGCTGCTGTGAGATTCCCAGCATGCTTCTTCCCATCGCAATTACTCGTGGAGGGCGTGGGTCCGGCCAACAGGAGCCCTCGAGAGCATGATCTCTCTGGAAGGGGTGCGTCACTCCGAGAAGCCCTCATCGTTAGTACCAGCTCTCCGGATGAGGCCGATTGAAATGAAGGCGCTCCCCGGCAGCAACGGGGGGCTGCAAATCAAATCCCAGCCAGGGAGACAGACGTAGAGGGGCTGCGCCCCTCCAGGCCCAGCAGAGGACAACACCGCGCCCCGCCACACTGTCCCCACGCTTGGCAGGTGGGGACGGTGGAGGGGGACTCCGTGGGGGGGGCGCAGAGGCCAAGGTGGGCGGGCCCGGCTGTGGACAAGAGAGGCCTCCAGCAGAGCCCAGACCGGGCCCCGCCACCAGGGCCATGCGCCAGCGCTAACACTCCAGACCGCCGGGACTCAGGAGCTGTTGGTTACAGCAGCGAGCCCCCGGTGAAGCAAGTTCGTCTCCCCGCGGATGGCGGGCGCCGCGGCCCCGGCGAACCTGGCACAGGGTAGGTCTCCGCAGGAGCCAAGGAAGGAGGGACCACGGGCCCACTGCAGCAGAGCCCCGTGTCCCAGGGACCAGAGGCCTTCCCGTCACGCGCAGCCCGTCCACACACACCTGCCGGCTGAGGCCTGTGCTGGCACGGGAGCCTTGCCCACGCAGAGCGGGGAGGCTTCGCGGAGGAAGGGAGTGTGGGGTCGGCGGACGGTGTCAGTGGGACACGGCGGGAGGGGGGCCAGACCAAAGGCCCAGAAAGGAGAGGCCTGCGTGCGGCCACGGCTTCCCCAGAGCCGCCCACAGCTGTGCCCCGAGCGTCCGGCAGACAGGCCTCTCACGGGGCCCAGCTTCCTCATCTGTCTGATGGGGCAGCAGGATCCACTTGCGAGGGGAAGTGGGTGGCAGGAGCCCCACTGGGAGGGCCGCTGCTCTGGGCTGCAGTGGAGACCGCACCTCCCACCACGTGGCGATGCCGCCAGACGCCGCCCTGGCAGCGTGGACCACTGGACCAGGCCTGGCACCTCACGACCTTTACCGACCTTCTGCCATCCCTAGGATGCAGAGCAGAGGCCATCAGAGCCCCTCCTTCGCCCTCACACGGGGGCTCCGGGCAAGGCTATCCCTCTGACCTGGAGAAAGAAAGGCCTGTTTGCGGTGCCCTTTGTGAAGCTGGCACTCACTGCCCGCGGGCCAGCTGCCTGGGCTCTGTAAGTCGAGCCTTCCTGAAATGCAGCCATTCCCGTCTGTTCACGGATTGTCTATGGCGGCGGGATTGAGTACTTGTGATAGAAGTCATCCAGCCCTAAAATATTTACCGCCTGGCTTTCTAAGAAAAGGTTTGCTGGCCAGGCTTAGTGGCTCAGCCTGCAATCCCAGCACTTTGGGAGGTCGAGGCGAGTGGATTGCCTGAACCTGTGGGTTCAAGACCAGCCCAGGCAACCTGGTGAGACCTTGTCTCTACAATAAATTAAAAAAAAAAATTAGCCGAGTGTGGTACACGCATGTAGTTCCAGCTACTTGGAAGGCTGAGGTGGAAGGGTCGTCGGAGCCCAGCAGGTCGGTGCTGAGGTCACCATGAGTGTGCCATGGCACTCCAGCCTGAGCGACAGAGTAAGACTCCAACAGCAACAACAAAAGAAAGAAAAAGTTTGCCAGTCCTGCTCAGAGGGAAAGATGGGTGAGACGCAGTGTGTGAGCCCGAGGTGGGCTTGTGACTAGAACTGACGGCTTCCAGCCATTACTAAGAATACCGTCTGTCTTTGACAACTGAACACACATGAGGCTCAGGGAGTGGTTACAGACTGTCCCAACGTCACGTGGCTGGCACAAGGCCCCCTTGGTGGAAACTGACGGCTGTCTGACCCAAGCCTGTCACGTCCTCCTGGTATTTGTGTGTGAGGATACACGCACATATGTGTCGCCCACAAACACAACTGAACAGTCTCCTTCTAAAGAGGGATCAGGAAGCTCAGCATTAGGAAATGGAGACAGCAAGATCCTTTACACAAGAATAAAAAGACAAGAGCCAGTTAAATCCAGTGTGTTGGGGACAGAGCAAAAAGGTTGTCGCTGGAAGAGTAGGAGGTTTTCAAAAAGGTTTTATGACAACACACTATTACAAACCCATGAGGATGTTTAAAATCCAAGAGACCAACACTGCCAGGTGTTGAGGAGGGGTCAGGCAACTGGAATCCTCATCACTGCTGGTAGGAGCAGGATTGGATCAACCCACCATGGAAACAACAGTCTCTTACATAGTTAAACAGCCATGTATCTCCCACATGATCCAGTCATTCTGCTCTTAGGTATCTGCCCAAGAGACACCACAACATAGGCATACAAAAAGATGTGTCTCTCGACAATATATAAAACAAATGATATAGTGTGATCAACAGGGGCTTAGACCAGTAACGCGAGATTGGTTTCACATTTGATAATCAAACAATGTAATTCACCATATTTACAAATTAAAAAGGTAAAACCAAATGATCATCTTAATAGATGCAAAAAAAGGCATTAGACAAAATATAACATCCCGAGAAAAACGTACAGAAAATTAGGAATAGAGGGGACCTTCCCCAACTTGATATAGAAATATTGTAACTAAAGTCATACTTAACAGAGAGAGACTAAAAATCCACCTCCCAAGATCAGGAACAAGACAAAGATGTCTGTTCTAATCACTACTACTCAACATTGAACTAAAGTTGCAATAAGGCAATAAAAAAAGCATCTAGATTGGAAAGGAAGAGATAAAACTATCTTTGTTCACAGCCAACATAATCATCTATATAGAAAATCCCACGGACTATTAATAAACTGCTAGAACTAATAAGTGAGCATAGCAAAATTGCAGGATACAAGATAAGTATACAAAAATCAATTGTAAGCTAGCAACAAGCAATCAGAAGTTGAAATTTTTAAAATGCCATTACAACAGTAGAAAATGTATGAAATACTTGAAGATAAATGACAAAAGATATGAAAGATAATACACTGAAAACTATAAAACACTACACAGAGAAATCAAAGAAGACCTGTAGATGTGGAGAGAGATGCCACTTTCATGGGGTGGAAGACAAGAATACTATTACCACACAAATTAATCTATAGGTTCAATGCAATCCCAATCAGAATTCCAGCAGGATTTTTTAAAAATATAAATTAACAAGCAGATTATAAAATTAAAATGGAAATGCAAAGGGCCTAGAATAGCCAAAACAATGTAGAAAACATCCAAAGGTGGAGAACTAACACTACTTGTTTTCAGAACTTCTTATAAAATCACAGTTATCGGGACAGTGAGGCACTGACACGAAAACAGAACAATGGAACAGACTAGAGAACCTAGACATACACCCTCACATACACGAACGACAAATTATTGACAAAGATGTAAAGTCAGTTCAGGGGAGAAAGAATAATCTTTCCACTAACAGCGCTGAACAACCAGATATCATCCACAACACATCAATGTCAACCCCACCTCTCACCATATTCAAAATTTAACTCAAAATGCATCAACGCCCTAAACGTAAAATCCTAAAACGTCTCAAAGAAAACAGAAGAGCTAGGCGTGGTGTCTCACGCCTGTATTCCCAGCACTTTGGAAGGTGGAGGTAAGAGGACTGCCTAAGCCCAGGGGTTTGAGATCAGCAACTTGGTGAGACCGCATTTCTGCAATAAATTTAAAAAATTATCTGGGCGTGGTAGCAAGTGCCTGTAGCTCCAGCTGCTTGGAAGGTTGAGGCTGAAGAACTGCCTGAGCCCGGGTGACAGACTCCAACTCGAAAGAGAAAGAGAGACAGAGAGAAGAAGGAGGCGGCAGAGGAGGAGGGGAGGGAGGGGTGGAGGGAAGGAGAGAGAGGAGGGGAGGGAGCAGGGAGGAAGGAGACATAGGAGAAAAGCAGTTGTGGCTGTGGGTTAGGCAGAGATTTCTTAGACACAGCACCAAAAGCAGAATCCACTGAGAGACTGAGAGAGAAACAGACAGAAGGCGGGAAGAGGGAGGGAGAAAAACTGGCATCGCCAGAA